GACACTGTGAAAGAAACTCACCTTTTTCGATCTTTGAACATCTTTAAAAACTGCGGAAATGTCATCCATTCACCTCTCAGAGATTTGTTCATGATAATGGAAGTTGTTTGAATTAAAATTATTGAACTGAGCGTAAACTGAGAGCGCTGATCGCTGTGTTGTCGCTGCTTCCGTTGCTAACATCAATGTAATAGCAACGCAAGAGATTGGAACGGCGTCAAAAAGACGCTTCACAAATTCGAATTTTGGAACAAAAATTATGCACTTTCTGTAGCCTCACTTTCACCACGGTTGCCAAGCGTTCTCTTACGGGTTGTCAAGGGCTTTTTTTATTTTAATTTCCAAAAATATTATTTTCAATCAGGTAGTGTTGTTACTCTTGGCGAGAACAATTTGCACAGTGCCCTTAAACAGTCGACACGCATTCGGTGACAGGTTGTGTGCAGTCAAGTCGGTAACCCGAAACGTAGCTTTTCCTCTCTGATGAGGGCGTAATACATATCAGTGAAGACCTCGCCTTGTGACGACAAAACACTGCATCAAAAGCTTGGGATACTAAATTGAATTTATAAGCGCTAATTTAAATATATACACATTAATATAATCAATTAACGGTAAAATTGTAATACTATATAATCAATTTAACAACACACGGGAAAAAAACAAAAAACAAAAAAGATGGGACATTAGCTTCATGATTGTACATAAACTAATGAACATTGTTATGCGATTTATGACCAATTTTGTCAAAAATTATGACTAGGCTTCTACCTTAAAACACTTTAACCAGAAAATTTGGTTTGAAATTATTATTATATCACTAATTTTGATTTTTTTTATTGCCACGGCACAACTGTAAATCGTTGAATACGCTCATATTTATAGGTTCTTTTGGTCCTCTGTGCCCCCCCCACTCCCTATATTTAGGGGGGCCTATGCTTGTTCCCTCATTTTTTTTGACCCCCCTATCTAGGGAAAAAAAGAAAATTTAACCCCCCTTTCACGGGCTTTTCCGATGAATTTCACCCCCTATCTAGGGAACTTTTCAGTCTAGAACTCCTTTTAAACCCCCCTTTTTTGTATATCTCGGGAAGTGTTTTG